CATATGCAGTTGGGACATGCTGGTGAAAAGTCCTTGCAAACATTGGCAAAACAAGGACTGTTGAAAGATGTCAAATTGTGCAAACTAGACTTTTGTGAGCACTGTGTTCTGGGAAAGCAAAAGAGAGTGAAGTTTGGAACGGCTATCCATAATACCGAAGGTATCTTGGATTATGTTCATTCGGACGTGTGCGGACCTTCTAAGACCCCATCATTAGGCGGAAGACGTTATTTTGTCACTTTCATTGATGACTTTTCCAGACGTGTTTGGGTGTACACTATGAAGACGAAGGATGAAGTGCTTAGTGTCTTCATTACATGGAAGACACAAATTGAGAACCAGACTGGAAGGAAGATCAAGGTCCTACGAATGGACAATGGTGGAGAATATACAAGCGATCCCTTTCAAGAAGTTTGTCGTAAAAATGGCATTGTTAGGCACTTCACCGTTAGACGGACACCACAACAAAATGGGGTGGCGGAGCGCATGAATCGAACATTGGTGGAGAAAGTTCGATGTATGTTGTCCAATGCTGGTTTGGGCAAGGAGTTCTGGGCTGAGGTTGTAACATACGCTTAACACCTCATAAATCGTTTGTCGTCATCTGCAAAAGATTGTAAAACACCGTTGGAGGTATGGTCGGGGAAACCTGTTGCTGACTATGGATCTTTACATGTCTTTGGGTGTCATACGTTCTATCATGTGAAAGATTCAAAGTTAGATCCAAGAGCGAAAAAGGCTTTGTTCATGGGAATCACAATTGGTGTGAAGGGATATCGTCTTTTGTGTCTTGAGACGAACAAAACTGTGTTTAGCAGGGATGTTACATTCGATGAACAAAGTATGATAAAGACGATGCAAACCCAACAGGTGGAGTTGACACCAAAGAAGGTGGAGATAGATGCGATGACGAGACAACCAACTATGATCGACGAAACAATATCAAACGATTCGTCGGATGATGAAGTTCAGACTCATGAATCATTAGATTTACCCATTGCATTGAGAAAGCCCAGACGAGAGATTCAACAACTTGCTCGATTGGCGGATATGGTGGCTTATGCACTTCCAATTGTTGATGATGACATACCTTTCACTTTTCAAGATGCAATTCGAAGTTTAGAAAATGAGAAGTGGAAGTGGGCTATAGAGGAAGAAATGTTGTCCCTCCAGAATAATCAAACTTGGAAGGTGACGCAACTACCAAAAGGCAAGAAGGCGATAGGATGCAAGTGGGTATTTGCAAAGAAAGATGGATTTCCTTAGAAGAGTGATGTGCGCTACAAGGCAAGGCTGGTGGCTAAAGGCTACGCTCAGAAGGAAGGAGTTGATTATAATGAAGTGTTTTCTCCAGTTGTTAAACACTCTTCCATTAAAATTTTGTTGGCCTTAGCAGCACAGTTGGATTTAGAGCTAGCTCAACTTGATGTGAAGACGGCGTTCTTACACGAAGATTTAGATGAGGAAATCTACATGACTCAGCCAGAAGGATTCAAAATTCTTGGAAAAGAGAATTGGGTTTGTAAGTTGAACAAATCATTGTACGGACTGAAGCAATCTCCGAGGCAGTGGTACAAACGGTTTGATAAGTTTATGATTGGGCAGAAGTACACGCGAAGCAGACATGATCATTGTGTGTATTTACGCAAGCTGCAAGATGGATCTTTCATTTACTTACTCTTGTATGTGGATGACATGTTGGTTGCATCAAAGAGCCAAGTGGAGATTGATCAATTGAAGGCTCAGTTGAATCAAGATTTTGAGATGAAAGACTTGGGGGACGCTAAGAAGATTCTCGGGATGGAGATAAGCAGGGACAGAGTGAGAGGCAAGCTTTGTTTGACTCAGAAGCAATATCTGAATAAGGTACTGCGGCGCTTCGGCATAAAAGATGAGTCGAAGTCTGTAAGTACACCACTTTCCCCTCATTTGAAGTTAAGTGCCCTGTTATCGCCAAATTGTGATGAAGAACGAGAGTACATGACTAGAGTCCTATATGCAAATGCAGTTGGCAGTTTGATGTATGCGATGGTGTGTACAAGGCCTGACATTTCACAAGCAGTTGGTGTTGTTAGCAGGTATATGCATGACCCTGGTAAAGGTCATTGGCAAGCTGTGAAATGGATTCTACGGTACATTCATAGTACTGTAGACGTTGGATTGGTTTATGAGCAGAATGAATTTGGTCAGTGTGTAGTAGGATATTGTGATTCTGACTACGCGGGTGATTTGGATAAGCGAAGATCAACGACTGGATATTTGTTCAATTTTTCAAAAGCTCCAGTCAGTTGGAAGTCTACCTTACAGTCAACAGTTGCTTTGTCTACAACAGAGGCAGAGTATATGACGGTTACTGAAGCTGTGAAGGAGGCTATTTGGCTTCAAAGTTTGCTTGAAGACTTGGGAGTTGGTCAAAATCACGTCTTAGTGCATTGTGACAGTCAGAGCGCTATTCACTTAGCGAAAAATCATGTATTTCATGCAAGAACAGAGCATATTGATGTTCGCTATCACTTTGTGCGGGAGATTCTAGAAGATGGAACCGTTGTGTTGAAGAAGATCAAGACGACGGAGAATCCTGCAGATATGATGACCAAGGTAGTGACAGCAGTCAAGTTTGAACATTGTTTAGACTTGACCAACATTCTGCAAATTTGAGTTGGCGTCGAGAGGCGCATTTGGAGGCACCGCTAGCAGTTGAGTTGGAAGTGAGAGCAAAATTAGTCAAGGTGGGGTATCACAACAAGCACAGCGGACAAAAATACCCCTCCAACAAATATGGCGAATACTACTCCAAAATAAGCCAACACAAATAAAAGACGAGAAATAAAAGGAACACAAAAATTGGTATCAGAGCCACGGTTGGTAGCCCAGTTACGATGTGGATGACGTGGCATGTTCCCCGTGGAGTCGGAAGGGTCGGTAGATCCGTGTGTCTTGTGTCGAAAGTCTTCCTGGCAAAAAGGGTGTGGTCAGGCGGCGGGTTCCGTGGATGATAACGACGGTACAAGATGGTCGGATCGTATGAATTTCGTTTAAGGGAAGACCCAATGTGGTCTTGTGTTTGAGGGGAGGTTTGTTTGGTGTGCAAACCCAATCCCACATCGAAAAATTAAAAGGTTTTAAGTCCAATATATAAGTTTAGTGGGCTACTCCCTCTATTGCCAATTGGTTTAGAGTGGAACCCTATTTAGGCTTGTATGTAGGGCTTAATGGAGAATTGCGTTTTGAAGTGTTGATCCTAACAGTATGATCTTTTATTGGATCGTGTTGCTTATGTTTCTTCTTGTTTTTAGCTTTGTTTTATTGTGCTGGAATTGTTGTTGTAAGGTTTTGTTGATTGTTAGGACCGGTTCTATACCTTGCATGTACCTCTTGTGTCCTCAGTTGTGTGAGGGTGGTTGTAGCCATTTAGCTATTCGTGTACTTTTTCTATTGAGTTTTATGTAAGTTGTTGGTTTTGTCGTTTAAAAAAAAAAAATAATAATAATAAATAAATTGGATTCATGTTAGAGAAGTGTACAAATAGAAATGGAGAATTAATTAATTAGATACGTATAGTATAGGCCGATAGGGATATATAGAAACCAAGAAAAAAAGAATACCAAACAAATATGGAAAGAGATGCTTCGGTGTCAGCCATGGAAGTCCCATCGTCCAATAAATAATTGCTCATCCCGATGACCATCCGCCACGCAAAGCAATCCTATTTTGCTGACTCACAATTAAAAATATAAAAAAATTAATAATAGAAGACATGAATTCGGCAGCAACCGACCTTCACCTTCATTCCGACACACGTTTCGATAATTTCCCCGCAGTAAAAGCCACGTTTACAAATCTGTTTCACGGTGCCGTAAAATCATTGCTCCTAAAAACGCATATACATATGAAAATGGGGGCAGCTGCTTTTCAAACGATCCACCGACGATAGAGAGATCAGAATGCCTCCGGCGTCAACGCTTCGCGGCTCCGCTTATCTCAACGCGCTCGCCGTCGAGATTGAGAAGAAGCTTCAACGTGTGCGTACACTCTCTTTATCAGTATCGGTTATTTGTGCGTTTTCTCTGTAAATAATTCTTTCTTTTCCCCCTTCGATTTTGCTTTATTGTTCTTCAAATCGTTGTTGTTTCAGCCGTTATGTTGGACTGATTGATTGGTGCTGTTGGCTGTTTATTTACATTGTAGGCAGTAGCTTCGGCTTCTCAGAGGCGGAATCTGTTGCAGGAGTTATTTGCGGATATCGCTTTAGAAGTAGATGATCGAGCCAAAGGTTAATAATTACCATTGTTTATGTTGGTTTGTCTTGAGTTATTTTTTTTCCTTATTGTATTTTGTTTTAATTTGAATGCATAGATGTTGCCTTGTGATAGAAAGAAAGGGAGGAAAAGCTCCAAGTAGAAAGTGTTCCTCGTGATTAATTACTACTTCCTGTTTTTGGCTGTTTCGAAGAAATATAAGCACATTTGAATTGTAGCTGCATGTATTTCAGCACTCCTTGCAAAAACTTTATATGTTTGGGTCATAATCTGTCAATACGAATTGGATTTGGGTGTATCAGCTTATTGTTCTTGTAATTGTCTACTGTACTATGGGTGTAATGTATTTGTTTGAAATGCATTTGAGCTTTTGTTGGTCAATGGCATATTTTAGCTTTCGATAGGTGCATGAAGTGAAGTTGCATAGAGATAATTATGGTTACGTTTAGTGAATTGTAATGTTGACCTAAGGAACAGTCGCATTATGTTTACTTAACGTTGTATATGGCCATATCTTTTAATTTATTCTTTCTTCCCTTCATTGATACAGGTATTATTTTTGGTGAGGAAGGTGCCATTTCTGTTGAGGATCATGGATATGGGGGCCCTATATGCTTTTACGACGTGCTTGCTGATCATTTTGTTAACATGCCCGAGAATGGGAAATCAATCCTTGATCTAATTGTACAACTTTGGAGCCAGTCGTTTGCATCTAACATATTTTCTCTCTTGTTCCACAAGTGGGTATGTGTCTTAATGTTAATTTGGTGGATTCACTTGTTTCTTTGGTTTATCTGTCTGGATAGGGGTACGACCCTTTCATGAGTACTTCTATCTTCTCTGTGCTCTGCCCTTTCTCGGTTATATATGCCAGTTTTAGTGTATCTCAACACTCTGATTGTGATGTTAGTTGTCGTTTATTAATGGAACATTTTCTTTTCATCTTAATGATCTCTTATTGTAAGCTTCCATTTTTCAGCTTTTTGAGGTTCAGCTTGATAACCCTGAGGTCCTACTGCGCTACTCTTCTGCACTTGTTGAAGGTGCTACAAATGTTTTCTGGTGAGAATCTTTTACATGTTTCTTAAACTGAGATAATTTTTATGTGGCTTATGTATTTTAGACCAATTGTAGTGCCTCTGCAGTCACAGTTGTCTACATGATCTAGCAAAGCTATAGCCAAATATGCAGTTAATAGTCTCTGTACCACATTTTCTGGCACCTGTGGGTTGGCCATCTTAAAAATGATTAATGGTGGTTTTTTCTGTATTTTGATATCGCATTCTCAGTCACCTAACTTCAAACACAAGTCCTCTAGAGTTCCAGTCTCGGTGGAGTTGTGCTTTCTAAAAAACCTTGCTGTTAACATCATGAATGAAGATCTGCTTGCCACACCATCCCTCAGTTAGCACAATTGAAATTGCATAATTTTGTTCCAAATCTAGTTTTTCCTGTACTTTCTTTAAGCACTTGCATATCAAAAATAAAAATTACTGAAAGTTTTGTTAAAAAGATTCACGCAGAAAAGTTAGAAAAGCTATATATAAATCAGAGAGTTAATGCCAACAATTTTAGGGTTTCTTCTCCCTCAAATTAAAGAAAAAGATAATAAGTTTATGGTAATGTGGTAGATGCCATTTTATTACTCAGTTGAGTTTTGTTTCTTTCTCAACATTGAATGAACCCTGTGCGATAAGAAGAGGAGAAAAT